TGACGTCAAAGCGGTTCGTTAATAGCGGAAAGGGGTTCTGAAATAGATCTGGTGTAATTTCGATCGGTAAGATTGGTCAAATTAAAATTTCCCGTATTTCGGGAGGCGTAAGGACTTCACTAACTTCTTCACAAGACATTTTAACCGATTTTAACTTACAAAAACTTGAATTGATTCGAATTACATTTATTGTTGTGAAAATTCGAACTTCAAATATTTCGTGGTTCGTGTCAGACCAGTCTATCACCAACCACGATAAAATTCCCCAGATTTAAAAAAACGCAAATTTCAATTAAATTTTGCGAAAAAACGTGCGCGGTAGAAAAAATAGTATAAATAACTCGTTCATAAAACCATTGTGGCACTCATCCTTTATATAACTTATATTATTTGTATTGGAAAAACTGTTGGTTTATAGAGAATTTTCTGTAAATTAAAAATCTGAAGCAGTTTTCCCCAAAAACTTTCAAATAAATGAGAAAACAGGCAAAATAATTTCCAAAACTTTTTCAAAAAATCTTAAAAAATTCCCATGGAGTGTCCGAAAAAACTGTTCTGTCAAAAATTGTCAAAGTTTTCAAAACCCTACGTTTAAAATGTTCGCAATTAATTTTAGGTCCCCTGGTGTTTTATTTTCGGATAAATTTAAAGGAATCTGGTGTTTTGTTGCTGGATGAAATTGAAAAAATCTTTTGAGCTTTTATTAATGTTTTACTTTTTACGAATTTGAAAATGTCTTGAGTGCCGCAGTGTTCGGATACCCATGGTACATTATTTTGGTAGCCCATGGAATTTTTTTTTGTAAATTATTTAAAAGGATTTTGGTGCCTTTGGTGTTCGATTTTTGGAAAAATCTGTTTTTGAGTTAATTTTGGGATCCCGAGTTTTGTTTTTGAAAAATTTAAAACAATCTTTACGTTCCAAGTATTCCTGTTTGGAAAGAATTTGAAAGTGCTTTGGAGTCTTCAGTGTCTTTTCCTATAATAATTTAATTAAATTTCTTAGAAGATATGTCATTTGCCAAAAACGGTCTTACCTTAGTAGGCAAGTAAATCAAAATTGTCGCTCTGAAATTAATTAACAGCGGCGCGAAATCACATTTGAATAAATTGAATTTGAAAAAAAAAATCATAAAAAAAAACATAGGCAACCTGGTGCACGGAAACGCTTGCTTGGTAGTCGGACGATTTAGCGCTAGGGGTTTTTAGTTGGAGGGTTGGTGGTTAGACAAAGGGCGGCATGGCGTAGCGTTAGTCTGAATGTGTCTTTGTGAGTGTAAACACATGGTAAGAAGTAGTTTAAATTAGTTGGTTTAGTAGTTAATAAAATGGGAGGAAGCCTTTGTTTAACGAGAATCAATCGTAGCTAACGTCACTCTGTTGTCCCCAACCCGCGCGGTTAATTCCTACGGCCTTTTAATCGAAAATTGCGGATTTCCGGTCAACGCGAAACACGTGCTGTAAATTTGTTCTATTGTTTGTAAATTCACCAATCAAGTTAGTTTTTCTTAATCGTCAGCTAGTGCAAACACAGTTTAACAATCAGGATTATTTAAATAAACCATTTGCTAGAAGATTTCATGAAATTCACTTAGTCAGGAAAAACACCTTATCAAATTTGTATTCACATTGGGAAAAGGTATGTTAGATAAAACATACATTTTCAATCTAATTAATTTCAGTTTGATTTTTTAGATTTACAACTTCTACGCTCTTTCAACATTTCAAAATGTGGGAACCATGGAATAAAGTGGATGCTCTTCAACGCCGAAATGATGAAAACCTTAGCGTTGCGAGGAAATGCTTCAGTGATGTAATTTTTAACGTTGCGAGGAAATGCCTCGGTGATGTAATGATGATAACAATAACTGCCTAAGGGAAAAAATTATTTCAACCCACCACCAGTTCACGATATTATGAATTTTGTTAATTTAACTCCCGTAAATGCACTATTAGCAATCTTGTGTGAAGAATTAAGAAGTGTTATAATGAAACACTTGAGTATATGCATCTAGAAACTTCATTCATAACTTTGTAAACAATGGGTGTTATCCTGACTAAGTGAGTTTCATGAAATCTCCTCATAAGTGTTTGTCTGACTGAGCAAGTTCCTGATTGTTAAATTGTGTTAGAACGAGTTAACGATTAAACTCCTAACATGAACCGTGTCGGCGTCGGTCAAAAATTCACGTTTTCCGATTAGAAAGTTGCAAGAATTAGCTGCGCGTGTCGGGGAAAACTGGGCGCCGTCGTTACGATTAATTTTCGTTAAACAAAGGCCTCTCCCTTTTATTAACTACCAAGCCAACTAATTTAACCTAGCTAACTTACAGCGTCTTTTCACCATGCTCCCACAACAATAATGACGCTTTCACCATGCTTTCGCCATGCCGCGGACTTGTCTACCAACCCTCTAACTAGAATCCTCTAGGGAGCTACCAACTACCCAACAAGCGTTAACGTGCACATGGTTGCCTATGTTTAACGATTTTTTTGATTGATTTTATTTTTAAATTCAAATTATTCAAGTGTGATTCGCGCCGCTGTTAATTAATTTCAGTACAAAAATTTGATTCAAATTCGGTTACTACAGTATACTTGCTAAGATAAGACTGATTTTAGTAAATGACGTTTTTTTAATGCTTTTTTTAACATTTGACCCCATTTTTAAGTTTTTTTTTAAAGTTCTGGATTTCTAAAGATTTTGATCACGATTCCAGCAGATCCATATAGAAACGGCTAACCTTGAGGTTCTTACAAATAAGTAAAAAAAACCTCATCAACGTCAAAATTTGCCTGTATTCTTAAAAAAAGTGATAAAGTTATGACCATAGGTTATGACAAAAAACAAAATGTGGACTGAAACGTATGTTAGCCATGTTACTTACTACTAATTTACCCTTCTTGTATTATATACGGGGTGTGGTTGTGTTGTTTATGTAATAATTTGATAAAATTCCATTTGATAACAATGTTTGTGTGATATAAAGCGAACGTAGAAATCAGCAAAAATCGAGTAAGCAGTTAAAAATATTTGACGTATCAAAAATTGTCAAAGTTTTCAAAACCCTACGTTTAAAATGTTCGCAGTTGTTTTTAGGTCCCCTGGTGTTTTATTTTCGGATAAATTTAAAGAAATCTGGTGGTTTGTTGCTGGATGAACTTGAAAAAATCTTTTGAGCTTTCAGTGTTTTTTTTTTATTCGTTAGACTTTTGGGTACCCATGGTGACTTTTTTGTAAATTATTTAAAACAATTTTAGGGGACTTTGGTGTACTTGGAACATTCTGACCTGACCTGTTTTTGAGTTAATTTTGGGAGCTCGTTTTTTTTATAAAAATTTAAACAATCTAGGTTCTGGTATTCCTGTTTGGAAAGAATTTGAGAGTGCTTTGGAGCCTCTAGTATCTTTTCTTATATTATCTAATTTAATTAAATTAGAAACTTAGAGGATACGTCATATTTGCTAAAATCAATCTTATCTTAGCAGGTACTAGTACCGCCCACCCACCTTTTTTTTCTTAGAGAGTATGTAATTTGCCAAAATCGATCTTATTTTAGCAAACACTAAGGCCGCCCACCCGTCCTATTTTTTATTAGAGCGTATCTCATTTGCCAAAATCACTATTATCTTAGCAGGTACTAGCCCCGCCCACCACCCTCTCTTTTCTTAGAAGGTATGTCATTTGGCAAAGTCAGTCTTATCTTAACAGCTATTGCCCCGCCCACCCACCCTCTCTTTTGTTAGAGGGTATGTCATTTGCCAAAATCAGTTTTATCTACTAGCCGCACCCACCCGCCCTCTGTTTTTTTCGAGGGTATGTCATTTGCCAAAATCAGTTTTATCTACTAGCCGCACCCACCCGCCCTCTGTTTTTTTCGAGGGTATCTCTTTTGCCAAAATCAGTTTTAACAGGATCTAGCCCCGCCCACCCCCCCTCTCTTTTCTTAGAGGGTACCTCATTTGCCAAAATCAGTCTTATCTTAGCAACTACTAGCCCCGCCCACCCACCCTCTCTTTTTAGAGGGTGTGTTATTTGCCAAAATCAGTTTTATCTCAGCAAATGGTGATAACTAATTTTTACAAAAAATGATCAAAATTTGGAAACATTACGAGCTTCTTATATGGCAGGCAGGAATTTTGAACATCTCTAGTGTTTAGTTGGTCATGCTTTTATGCGTTTTTTCCTTTTGCTGGTTTTGTTTTTGTTTATAATTTATAAATGTCTTATTAAATGTTTTTTTTTGGTTGATTTGTTAATAAAAAATAACAGCTTGTTTTATTAAGAATTATGCACAACGATTAATGACTACTATTTGTTATGTATATTGTCCCAAAAAAATTAAAGGTGGATTTCACTCAGAGGTATTCACGCATAGGTGCATACAGTGTTGCCAATTTTACTTTTATAAAATTACGTTTTTTTTGTATTCTACATCATTGAGATTTTTTTTTACCCGGTATATTTAATTTTGTAGGACCGCATACTCCTACATGTGTGATTCATGAATCCGTGTCGACTTTTCAACCTAGATGAATGATGATTTGAGAAAAAAATCAAAATTGTGTAATATTTTACAACTTAACTTTGCAATTTCAAACCAAATGCTTTGAAAACTTTTCAAGATTATCGTAACCATGGTAAATTGTTAATAAAAAAGGCTTTCCCAAAAAATTATGACATCATCTTGAGAATTCTACCGGACAAATGTTCTTTAAATTTTATGCACTTTTTACCCTTAGCATCCAGATTATTGGAAAAAAATCAACATTGTGTAACAATATTTTCTGCGTTGAGGATACAAAATCAACCAAATTTCATTTTCTTTTAACCGCTGATGCTTGTAATCTGAACGTGCTAAAGGTCGAATTCGGTCGAAGCATAAACATAAACAGTCGAAGTTAAGCATATACTGAGAAAAAAAAATTCTGTATACAATGCCACACTCTGTAGATTTTCCTCAATCCGACACTGAGCACTTTTGTTAATTAAGGACTTACCTCAGTACGACACTTCTCGCTGACCCGTGAAAACACAATCCCATGCAGCAAATCCACGATCTTCGTCCCCTACAATTCAAAAATTACCTTAACCCATAACCCAACCTCAAAACTTACAGAATCCTTAATCTGATGGGAAATCACAAGCACTGCTACCACAACTAAGATATTAAAAATCGTCAGTGTCAACAGATGGGAGTCGTGGCCCTTGTCTTTTATAAAAGTACAGATATTAGCAATGACCATGACGATGATACAGAATTGATCTATAGCCATGAAATTTCCATAGAAGGTCCCCAATACGTGCACACTCTTACTACAAACGTTATGCATGTGCCTGAAATACTCCATAGCTTCAGCCATATCTTCCGGGTACTTAATGTCTTCGTCAAAAATACATCCCGAGTATCCCTTTCTCGCGATAGTGTCGTTAATAATGTCAAAATTGCTCTTGATTTTGATGGAAAAGTAGATGTACATGAGGAGGGGCAAAACCTGCCAGATGCTTAGTCCTCCGAAGAAGTAGGCGGCCACAGCCACATTCGTAGCTCCTAGTTCTGGAGGGATGGTTTCTAGAACAACTTGGGCTGATTCCATGAAGGATATACCGATGGCGATAAAACCAGTGACCATGGGTAAGACGGTCCAAAGGGCGAACGACCGCAGAACATTATTTCCGTTTTTGTCAATCAATAAAGGTGTTTTTTTTCTGTCGAACGTATCCAAGAGCCGTATAAGTATGGGAAGCTTACTGGAGAGACTTCCACAGAACAAAAAGCACACAAATGATCTAAGAATCATGACACACACTACTATAAGAAGATAGACAGATTTGTTATAATTAAACATAAATCCGGAGAAATAGAAGATCATGTAGACCATACTAGCAAATATGAAGAAGCTGTAAAGGTGGGCAAAACTGAATATTCTGACTTTTATGTCTTTGGGGTTTTTGGCTTTTAGAATGTTTTGCAAAGGGAATACTCCCAGAATTTTGCAAACGAGTGCTATGGGTTTAAAGTACCAGTAGAAGGTTTTGGCTTCGGGTGAAGATTGCATCATCACTGACACTCTTTTCACTGTACAACTTATCACGATACACTGTGGAAATGGTTTAGTTTATATTTGTTTTTCGTTTTTTACTGTAATGATAAACTTGTATCCAAGGTTTTTATTACATTAAAGTATGCATCGAAGCCATTATTTTGCCATATGGGACATATTTACTTTGTAATTAGCTTCATAGCGAAACGTAATAGGGCCTTGTTAATAAATTGAGTTGATGTTGATGATAATTAATCTCGGATTAAAAGTGCCGATTTCGTTCCTGGCTATCTATTTTCCTGTTAGTGTCATCTTTTTTAGGAATTGTTCTGATAAACGTCTATTTTGTAGATTTTGACAACTAATGAAGTGAAGCTGACACAAAGTGAAATAAAAAAACAAAATTTTATATATGATTTTTAATCATTTATATATATATTAGGGTGATTCAAAAAAAAAAAAATAATTTTTTTTTTCGTGTCAAAGAGGTTCAAAAGTTTCTTTTCAACGTAAAAAAATACCAGTTAAAAGTTGAGCTCTTAATATTAATATTAAGACCGTCCGCATCGCGTTTTTCTATTTCCCATAAGAATAACATGGGAAAATTTTTGTTTGCACCTTCTGATTTTTATTGCTAGCCCGTCGTGTGTCGTGAAAAAAATTCAATCACATATTTTTATAGAGAATTGAACGCTCTACAAAAAGTGTCTCCTATGATTGTGCGAGAAACCTGATAGTTGAAGAGTTATTTTAGGCTAAAGTTAAATTTATCCAAATTTTGACGTTTTTGATGCATTACAATAAATTTGATGGTCTTATTGGAATAAATCACCACAAAAATTTATACACATTTTAAATTTAGTTTTTTAAACAGTAATTGTTTATAATTTTATGCTATAATAAGGCCAGTAAAACTCTTTCCGAACATTTTCAGCATCAGTGGGTTAAAAAATCATAGTCAGGTTTCTCGCAAAATCATAGGAGACACTTTTTGTAGAGCGTTCAATTCTCTATAAAAATATGTGATTGAATTTTTTTCACGACACACGACGGGCTAGCAATAAAAATCAGAAGGTGCAAACAAAAATTTTCCCATGTTATTCTTATGGGAAATAGAAAAACGCGATGCGGACGGTCTTAATATTAATATTAAGAGCTCAACTTTTAACTGGTATTTTTTTACGTTGAAAAGAAACTTTTGAACCTCTTTGCACGAAAAAAAAAATTATTTTTTTTTTTTGAATCACCCTAATATATATATATATATATAAAAAATTGACTTTATTCATTATTAGAGAGCGGATTTCTAGGTTTAATGCTTTTTGTGAAAAATGTAAGCACTTTTTTATATCTGTAACTATGATACAATTTGGAGTCATTTGACACATTTTTTTAATGCTTATTCGCTTTTTTTTCAATTTTATGGATATTAAAACTTATATGCTTATTTAATGCTTTTTTCGACGAATATGAGTTTTAATGCATATTTTGTTCAAATGCCGGCCTTGTCGGGATGACAAATACTTGTTAGTTAGCCGTATCGTATCGTATGCATTTTACCTGGACTTGACCATTGAAGTACACTTACTCAAGACCCTTTCTGTGACTAGGTTCCGGTCGTTTGGGTAATAAAATTTTATTATAGGATTGGAAAAATACTCCATAGACTTTATGACTTTAAATCCTTACTTCCGTTGATAATGAATTAAAGCTTTTAACCAGATGTTCTTTTTCTGCATTTTGCGGCAAGACCGTTGAAGATTTTCTAAAAAAAAGGATTATTGTACAATCGCACGCAAATGTTTTAAGCCTATGGGCGGATCGTTTTTGCCTGCCCTCTCCGAAGAAGACGATCCAAATCCTTCAAGGGCAGAATTTGTAGGTAGGCTCAAACTACAACGAAATTTACATTTGGTAAGAAATATTTATGGCTCACACCAGTTCTCTCGAATTTGTCGGAGAAGATTTAGCAGGTAGTTGTTCCGATAAAATAATGGGCACTTTCGTTCGTGAGTAAGGATGGTCCGGACATGAATTATTTTTTTAAAAAAATTCATCACTTTTTCAATTAAAATACTCTTAAAAAAAAACGATATTGTCGTTGAGTGACATGTAACTGGCATAATGATAAAAACGTGCCATTTTTGTTAACTGATATTTTTTTCATAAATGTCGCAAATTTATTAAATTTGTCTAATCATCCTCACCAATAATGTGATGACGTCACTTCAAATTTATGCATAGGAAATGGGTTTTAAATTGTATACAGTAACATAGTCCTACACATGTAGTTTATGACTCCGTGTTGAGTTTTTATCCGAAACGTCTAAATTTTTGGAAAAAAAATCAAAATTGTAAAACAATATTTTGCAATTTAATTTTGAATTTGCAAAATCGAATACTTTGAAATCTTGCAGATGTTTTAAAGTCATGATAAACATGATACATTTTTAATTAAAATATATTTGCTTATCCCCTCTAAAAAATTTATGACGTCACCTCAAAATTTTGCAGAATAAATCCTATCTTAAATGTATAAAATATGATGAGTTTTTATACTTGTGATTTATGACTGCATTAATATTTTTTAGATTTGGTTATACAGGGTGTCTCAAAAAAGTTAATGACTGAGTCAATTTATTTTATTGAAGAAATCAAGAATAGCAAAACTGAATACTTTGAAATATTGTAGATGTTTTGAAGTTTTTGTAAGCATGGTAAGTTTTTCGAAAATTTGATTAATCAAATATGCGCAAAATCAAAAATCGGAAAAACTGAAATTCACTAATGCAAAAAACAGAAAATCGAAAAATACAAATCGTAAAAATCGAAAATCTAAAAATGGCTAATCAAAAAATCGGAAATTAAAATAATCAAAATATATAAAGTAGAAAAAAATTGCAAAGCCTAAAAACTGAAACGGACAGAAAAATCGAAAAAGCAAAAAATTGGAAAAACAAAAATTCGCAAAATGTAAAATCGAAAAAGTGGAAAATCGAAAATCTGAATAAAGAAATTCGGAAATTCTGAAAATTGGAAAATCGAAAACCAAAAAATCGGGAAGTAACTGAAAAACCGAAAATTCTAAAAATCGACAATGGACAAATTGAAAATCGCAAAATTTAAATCGAAAAATCATAAAACTGAAAAATCCAAAATTCTAATGATCGAAAGTCTGAAAACTGAAAATCGAAAATTCTGAAAACCGAAAAATTCAAAGATTTAAAAAGAAAATCGAAAAATCAAAAATCTGAAAATTGAAACTCGAAAATTTGGAAAATCGAAAAGTAAAAAAATTGAAGTCTAAAAGCTGAAAAATGGAAAACTGAACAATCGAAAATTCGAAAATCAAATATCGAAAAATCGAAAAGCCGAAAAATCGAAAATTCGATAAATCAGATATGCGAACAACAGAAAATCTGAAAATACAAAACTGGAAAATCAAAAATTTAAAAATGGAAAAACCGAAAATTCAATGAATCTAATACGTAGGTCGATCGAAAAACTGGAAATTCACAAATCTGAAAAATCGAAAATTTGCAAGATTGAAAAACCGAGAATTGAAAAATCAAAAAACCGAAAAATGGAAAAATCAAAAATCGAAAAATAGGAAAACCGAAAATTCGAAAATTCATAATATTGAAAACTCTAAAAGTCGACAATTCGAAAATCAAAAAATTGGAAAGTAAAATAATCGAAAAATTGAAAAGTAAACAAATTGCAAAGCCTAAAAACTGACGAACAGAAAAATCGAAAAATCGTAAAATCAAACAGTGGAAAATCGAAAACTGGAAATCGAAAAATCGAAGATTGGAAAATCGAAAATTCGAAAATCGGAATATCGAGAATCGACAAATTAAAAAACCGAAAAATCGAAAAATTAAAAAATCGGAAATCGAAAAATGAAAAAAAAAAACGAAAATTCAAAAATCGAATAATCCGAAACTAATATAATAGAAAAGTGGAAAAGTAAAAATTGCAAAGTCTCAAAACTGACGAACAGAATAATCGAAAAATCAAAAAAAAATCGAAAAATATCTAAAAATGGAAAATCGAAAAATCGAAAATTCGATGAAACAAAAATACTCGAAAAAACGAAAAGTAAAAAAATTGCAAGGCCTAAAAATTGAAAAATCAAAAAATCGGAAAAATGAAAATCGAAAAAACGACGATCGAAAAATAATAAAAAAATCGAAAAGTGGAAAATCGGAAAGTAAGAAAATTGAAATCTAAAAGCTGAAGAAGGGAAAATTCTAAAAAGCAACAATCGAAAAAAGCAAAATTAAAAATTGAAAATTTGAAAAATGGAAAATCGAAAACTCGAATATCGAGATTTTGAAAAATCGTAAAAATGATAATCGAAAAATCGAAATGCTCAAAAATCGAAAATTCGATTAATTAATATTCTAAAAATCGAAAAAACGGACACAAATCCACAAATCTGAAAAATTGAAAATTGAAATACGAAAAATTGAAAAATCCCAATCGAAAAATGGAAAAACCGAAAATTCAAAAATCAAACTATCGGAAAGTAAAATAATCGAAAAATGGAAAAATAAAACAAATTGCAGAACCATAAAAACTGAAACAAACAGAAAAATCGAAAAACCACAAAAGCGGAAAAACGAAAATCGAAAAATCGCAAATCGAAAAATCGTGAAATCAGAAAATGGAAAATCGAATAATCGAAAGTTGAAAAATCGAAGGTCGAAAAATAAAACAACCGAAAAATCGAAAAATGTAATGATTAATGGAAAATCGAAAAATCGAGAATAGAAGAATTAAAAAACCGAAAAATTGAAAAATCGGAAATCGAATAATTAAAAACGTAAAATCAAGAATTCAAAAATCAAAAAAATCGGAAAGTAAAATATAATCGAAAAATGCAAAAAAATTGCAAAATCTAAAAACTGACGAACAGAAAAATACAAAAATCTAAAAATTCTCCAATTTTAAACACATTTTAAATGATCGGCGAAAAAATTTTACAGTGGACAACTTGGAACATATTACAATTATAAATTGTTTTAAAGAAAACTGAAATACGTGTGTAAAATATAAAGTCTAGGATTATTGTAATAATATTTTATCCAATGTTCTAAGAAGTGTTCTTTGATTTGGAACATGATTATGTTTTTAATGCTTTTTTGCTTAAAATAAAACTTTTTTATTGAAAATGTTGTGCTTATTTAAGCGCTTATTCTTAATTTTTTTGTGCTTATAAATCCGCTCTCTATTCATTATCTAACACTTGTTTTGATCAGAAACATGGCGCTGGAGGCGTTCCTGTTATTTATTGATCGACCCCAGCGCCACATCAGGGACCTGCAGCGCAACACAAGCCTGCACAGCTGCTCATTTCAGCCGCCAGGTGGCGTCTTGGCTTGATTTTTTTCCCGTTTTTGTAACCAGACCTTAAAGTCGGCATTACTACTACAATTTACTATAAAAATCCAACTATCATAGTCGCTCCCAACACCCTTCTTTCGAGTTATACGTACAATTCGAATTTTGGATTAACGCAAACAGGGTTTCGGGTTCTCTTTGTTCTTCTCCTTTGAAGCGAAAATGACTGGAACAGCCCTCTGTGTCTTTAATCGTCGGAAAACATTTGCGTCTGAAAATTCGAAACTCGAATCAATAATTCAAATAGTTTAATTTTATCTAGGATTAGCGCTAAGCCAGACGAAACACGTTGAGCCGGGGTGTGTTTAGATCAAATGTCTGAAAGCAGAGACCGTAATATTAGACAATGAAGATGTATTAGTCCACGTTGCAGTTTTCCAGGTTTATTAGCAAGACAGATAGGGAATAAAGCTTGTTTAAAGGCGTGTAAAACGTGGATTCGGGTCGCACCTGGACTTTTGTGGTCGGGGCTAATTTGAAATATTTGTTTTATACAGTGGGTACCGGATGTTGCGAATAAAAACGACCATATCTAATTTTTTTATGACGCTATTTATTTTTTGTAACGTAAACATAGAAATGAGTTAAATCATGTTTGGTTGTGGAGGTCTGGATTTTTTGGAATCGCTTGAAACATTAGAAACTTTAGATTTAGATTTGGAATCTTTGAAATATTTAGAATCGCTAGAATTTTTAGATCTCTAGGACCCTTTACCTCTTTAGAATCTCTAGAAGCTTTATCATCTCTAGAATTTTTGGCATCTCCAGGATTTTTAAAATATGTAGAATTTCTAAAATATCTAAATCCTTAAAAATCTCAGAAACTTTAGGCTCTCTAGAATTTTAGTATCTCCAGAATCTCTAGGATCTTTAGAATTTCTAGAATCTCTTCAATCTTCTTGAGAATCTCTAGAATCTTTAGTATCTCCAGAATCTTAAGAATCTCTAAAATTTCTAAATTCTCAGAAATCTTTAGAAACTCTAGCATCTGTACAATCTCTAGAATATTTTGTATCTTGAGAGTGTTTGGCCTCTCCAGAATCTTTCTAATCTCTAGAATCTTTCCAATTTTTCGCATCTTCAAAATTTTTAGAGTTTCTAGATCTCTATAATCTCTAGAATTTCTAGAATTGTTGGACGAAAAGAATAAAAAGGATAAAAAGGACAAAAAGCATAGAAAGGATAAAAAGTATGAAAAGGATGAAAAGGATAAAAATGATAAAAAGGACGAATAGGACGAAAAGGACGAAAAACACAAAAAGGATAAAAATGATGAAAAGGACGAAAAAGACGATAAGGACGAAAAGGACCAAAAGGACAACAAGGACGAAAAGGACAAAAAGGACCAAAAGGACGAGAAGGACGAAAGGGACGAAAAGGACAAAAAGTATAAAAAGGACAAAATGGACGGAAAGGATGAGAAGGACGAAAAGGACGAAAAGGACAAAAAGGTTAAAAAGGATAAAAAGGACAAAAAGCACGAAAAGAACGAAATGGACGAAATGGACAAAAATAACCAAACGGACCAAAAGGACGAAAAGGACGAAAAGAATGGAAAGGACGAAAAGGACTAAAAGGACTAAAAGGACGAGAATCTCTTGAGTTTGTACTTCTCTAGAAGTTTTACCTCTTTAAAATATTTAGCGTTTCTAGAATTTTTAGCATCTCCAGAATCTTTAGAATATTTAGATTTTGTAGAATCCTTAGAATTCTCTGTTGAATGTTTAAATTCTGTAGAATTTCTAAAATCTCTAAATTCTTAAAAATCTCTAGAATTGTTGGAGCTTCCAGACTTTAAGACTTCGGAAATATAGTAATCTCTGGAAACTTTAGAATCTCTAAAATCTTTAGCATTTCTAGAATTTTTGGCATCTCTAGAATCTTTAGAATATTTAGATTTTCTTTAAAATGTGTAGAATTTCTAAAATCTAAATTCTTACAATCTTATAACTTCGGAATTTTGGCAATCTCTGGAATCTTTAGAATACCCAGAATCTTTAGTATCTCCTAAGTTTTTAGTATCTCGAGAATCTTTAGAATCTCCAGAGTCCATGGCATCATTACAATCTCTAAAATTTCTAGAATCTCTAAAATCTTTAATATCTCCAGTATGTTTGGTGTCTCCAGAATTTTTGTTATCTCTAGAATTTTTCGAATTTTTTGTATCTTCAAAATCTTTAGAATATCAAGAACCTCTAGACTTTTTAGAATCTCTACAATTTCTAGAATTGTTGGAAGCGTTATACTCTAAAACTTAATCTTTGCAATCTTTGAAATACATAGAATCTCTAGAAATTTTAGCTCTCTAGAATCTTTACCTCTTTAAAATCTTTAGAATCTCTGGAATCTTTAGCATTTCTAGGAATGTTTAGCATCTCTAGAATCTTTAGAATATTAGATTTTCTTTAAAATCTGTAGAATTGCTAAAATATCTAAATTCTTAAAACTTCGGAATTTTGTCAATCTCTGGAATCTTTAGAATCCCCAGAATCTTTAGTATCTTTTGAGTGTTTAGTTTCTTCAGAATACCTAGAATCTCCAAAGTCTCTAAATCCTCCAAAATCTCTAGAATCTCTGGCATCTTTACTATCTCTAGAGTTTCTAGAATCTCCAGAATCTTTAGTATCTTTAGAGATTTTGGCCTCTCCAGAATCTTTATAATCTCTAGAATCTTCCGAATTTTTTCATCTTCAAAATTTTTAGAATCTCTAGAATTTTTAGCTCTCTAGGACCTTTTACCTCTTTAGAATCTCTATAATCTTTATCATCTCTAGAATTTTTAGCATCTCTAGAATTTTTAAAATTTCTAGAATTTTTAAAATCTCTAGAATTTTTAAAATCTGTAGAATTTCTGAATCATTAAAAATCTCTAGAATTGTTGGAACTTCTAGACTTTAAAACTTCGGAATCTTAATCTCTGGAGTTTTTAGAATGTCTAGAATTTTTAGTATCTCCAGATTCTTTAGTCTCTACAATCTCTACATTTTCTGGAATCTTTAGAATCTCTATTATCTCTCGAATTTCTTGAGAATCTGTAGAAACTTTAGATTCTCTAGAATTTTGGCATCTCCAGAATCTTTAGAACTTCTAGAATCTCTGGAATCTTCTTTAGAATCTCTAGAATCTTTAGTATCTCCAGAGTCTTTAGTATCTCTAGAATCTTAAGAATCTCTAAAATTTCTAAATTCTCTGGAATCTTTAGAAACTCTAGCATCTCTAGCGTCTGTACAATTTCTAGAATATTTAGTATCTCGAGAGTGTTTTACCTTTCCAAAACCTTTATAATCTCTAGAATCTTTCCAATTTTTTGCATCTTCAAAATCTTTAAAATCTCTAGATTCTTTAGTTTTTAGAGTTTTTATGTCTCTATAATCTCTAGATTTCTAGAATTGTTTTAAGGATAAAAATGATAAAAAGGACGAAAAGGATAAAAAGGTCAAAAAGGTTAAAAAGGATAAAAAGGATAAAAAGGACCAAAAGAACTAAAAGGACTAGAAGGACCAAAAACACGAAAAGGACGAAATGGACGAAAACGACGAAAAAAGACGAAAAGGACCACAAGGATGAAAAGGACGAAAAGTATAAAAAGGATACAAAAGAGAAAAAGGTTAAAAATGATGAAAAGGACGAAAAAGACGATAAGGACGAAAAGGACGAAAAGGACGAAAAGGACCAAAAGGACGAAAAGGACCCAAAGGACGAAAAGGCCGAATAAGAACGAAAGAGGACAAAAAGGACGACAAGTATGAAAACGACGAAAAGTATAAAATGGACAAAAAAGACAAAAAGGATAAAAATGATGAAAAGGACGACAAAGACAATAAGGGTGAAAAGGACCAAAAGGACGAAAAAGACAAAAAGGACGAAAAAGACGAAAAGGACCAAAAGGACGAAAAGTACGAAAGGCACGAAAAGGACAGAAAGTATAAAAAGGTAAAAAGTACGAAAAGGATGAAAAGGACGAAAATGACGAAAAGGACAAAAAGGTTAAAAAGGATAAAAAGGACAAAAAGGACAAACAGGATAAAAAGGATAAAAAGGATCAAAAGGACTAATAGGACTGAAAGAACCAAAAGTACGAAAAGGACGAAATGGGCGAAAATGACGAAAATGACCAAAAGCACCAAAAGGACGAAAAGGACGACAATTATAAAAAGTACAAAAAAAGACAAAAAGGATAAAAATGATGAAAAGCACGAAAAAGACGATAAGGACGAAAAGGACCGAAAGGACAAAAAGAACCAAAAGGACCAAAAGGACCAAAAGGACGAAAAGGACAAAAAGTATAAAAAGGACAAAAAGGACTAAAAGGACGAAAAGGACGAAAAGGACGAAAAAGACGAAAAAGACGAAAAGGACCAAAAAGACGAAAAGGACGAAAAGAACGAAAAGGACAAGAAGGACGAAAAGAATGAAAAGGACAAAAAGAACAAACAGGATAAAAAGGATAAAAAGGATAAAAAGGACCAAAAGAACTAAAAGGACTAGAAGGACCAAAAACACGAAAAGGACGAAATGGACGAAAACGACGAAAAAAGACGAAAAGGACCACAAGGATGAAAAGGACGAAAAGTATAAAAAGGATACAAAAGAGAAAAAGGTTAAAAATGATGAAAAGGACGAAAAAGACGATAAGGACGAAAAGGACGAAAAGGACCAAAAGGACGAAAAGGACCCAAAGGACGAAAAGGCCGAATAAGAACGAAAGAGGACAAAAAGGACGACAAGTATGAAAACGACGAAAAGTATAAAATGGACAAAAAAGACAAAAAGGATAAAAATGATGAAAAGGACGACAAAGACAATAAGGGTGAAAAGGACCAAAAGGACGAAAAAGACAAAAAGGACGAAAAAGACGAAAAGGACCAAAAGGACGAAAAGTACGAAAGGCACGAAAAGGACAGAAAGTATAAAAAGGTAAAAAGTACGAAAAGGATGAAAAGGACGAAAATGACGAAAAGGACAAAAAGGTTAAAAAGGATAAAAAGGACAAAAAGGACAAACAGGATAAAAAGGATAAAAAGGATCAAAAGGACTAATAGGACTGAAAGAACCAAAAGTACGAAAAGGACGAAATGGGCGAAAATGACGAAAATGACCAAAAGCACCAAAAGGACGAAAAGGACGACAATTATAAAAAGTACAAAAAAAGACAAAAAGGATAAAAATGATGAAAAGCACGAAAAAGACGATAAGGACGAAAAGGACCGAAAGGACAAAAAGAACCAAAAGGACCAAAAGGACCAAAAGGACGAAAAGGACAAAAAGTATAAAAAGGACAAAAAGGACTAAAAGGACGAAAAGGACGAAAAGGACGAAAAAGACGAAAAAGACGAAAAGGACCAAAAAGACGAAAAGGACGAAAAGAACGAAAAGGACAAGAAGGACGAAAAGAATGAAAAGGACAAAAAGAACAAACAGGATAAAAAGGATAAAAAGGATAAAAAGGACCAAAAGGACTAAAATGACCAAAAGGACCTAAAGCACGAAAAGGACGAAATGGACGAAAATGACCAAAAGGACGAAAAAGACGAAAAGTATAAAAAGGACAAAAAGACGAAAAGGATAAAAAGGGCGAAATGGACGAAGAGGACCAAAAGGACCAAAAGGACGAAAAAGACGAAAAGTATAAAAAAGACAAAAAAGACAAAAAGGATAAAAATGATAAAAATGATGAAAAGGACGAAAAAGACGATGAGGACGAAAAGAACCAAAAGGAAGAAAAGGACAAAAAGAACCGAAAGGATGAAAAGAACAAAAAGTATAAAAAGTACAAAAAGGACAAAAAGGACGAAGAAAACGAAAAGGACGAAAGGGACGAAGAGGAACAAAAGGACGAAAAAGACAAAAAGGATAAGAAGGACAAACAGGATAAAAAGTGTAAAAAGGATAAAAAGGACCAAAAGCACGTAAAGGACGAAATGGACGAAAAAGACGAAAATGACCAAAAGGACGAAAATTATCAAAAGGACGAAAAGGACGAAAAGTACCAGAAGGACGAAAAAAACGAAATGGACCAAAAGGACGAAAAGAACGAAAAGGACCAAAAGGACCAAAAAGACGAAAAGGAGTAAAAGGACTAAAAGGACGAGTATCTTTAGAGTTTTTAGCTCTCTAGAAGCTTTACCTCTTTAAAATATGAAAAGGACGTCTCCAGGATCTTTAGATTTTCTAGAGAATCCTCTGTTGACTCTTTAAATTCTGTAGAATTTCTAAAATCTCTAAATTCTTAAAAATCCCTAGGATTGTTGGAGCTTCCAAACTTCGGAATTATAGTAATCTCTGGAAACTTTAGAATATCTAGAACCTTTAGTAACTCCAAAGTCTTTCGAATCTCTAGAATCTTTAGACCTTTAAATCTTTAGTATCTTCAGAATTGTTAGCATCTTCAGAACCTTTATAAACTTTAGAAGTTTGTTTCTAGATTTCTAGAATCTCTGGATAAAATATTTTAGACAGATTATTCGTAAAAAATATATGGCTAAAAATGATTATGATTTAAATATTTCAGATAATCCTGACATGGAAACTTGATGTTACTGGACGCATGGCTTTTACTAAACACATATTTTCTGGAATCAGTCTTAGCTGCTGATACGTGTTAGACAATGGCTATGTAGTTTTATTACTAACAACGCAAAACATACAATAAAAATATTACAATGAATTTGTAGTAATAGTAAAATAGCACGCACTTTTTTTACCTACCATAGACTAGAAATATTAACAATTATATAACTCCAAATTTACCAGTTTCTAGTACTAATCGATATAATAGCATTCCTGCTTCCGGACGACTTGCATAAAATCGACTTCGTAGTCATAAATTAGAAATATCAGCCGAAAACTCTAATAATAATTAATAATTATTTTAATGTAGTACTCGGAAAGTAAAAATTTATCCCCAATTCTCAAAATCTTACAACTAGACCAATAAAACCACCGAACAGGATTTCAGTCCAACAACATTGTTACACGTTCCAGATGCTCCTGGGAAACAGTTTCTCCATTTGTCCTCACATGTAAATATAAAAAGAACTCTCAACTTTGTTTCGTAACAGAATTTCGACTTTAGTGCATTATAAGTAAATAAAACTCGCAAACTTCATGTTTGCTAACTAAACAAATAACATTGTATCAAACTGACTGCCACTATTTACAAAATAAATGTCCCCGATTTAAATATCGCCGCGTAAAATTTATTACAACAATAATTTACATACGACGTTTCGTGTTCAGCTGATTGTGTCACGAAAACTACATTATTGTTTAAATAATCACGAGAATTTATGGCGGCAATAATGTTGTCACACTATTTAGACACATTCCCGAATCACTAGCCGGCGATTTTTACCTGCACAGAATAAATTATTACTCGTAAAAAATTGCTTCGCAACATTTATTCTTGGATATCGACCATTCGTTCTAAAATAACGTGCCGACAGAAGTAAATTACTTCTAATTTTAACGGAGATGAAAGCTGAAATTACCAATTTCGGGCAACAATGTAGGTTATTTTTTGTCGTGTGGAGTAATGAGCATTTTAAAAAGCACAACGGGAGGTTCAAAAAATGCAAACAGATTTATTTAGTGCGGAGATGACGTCACCGGGTTCCAAGAGGGGATGAATAAATAAGCGCGTAAGTAAGAGTGTCTTATGTCCTTGCTCGTGAACATTTTAATTAATTATCCCGGCTTTCGACCTGATTAAGGAAATTAAAAGCGGTATCAGCTTTAGTTAATTATCCACAATACATGTACAGTGCGGCTTAAATTAATTACGAGTCTTAATGCCTTGTATTCGTTCGCTCTAGAATCCTTTTCGATTTCAGTGGTTTTAATTGGTGGTCACTTGCTTACCGACTGGGAATTTACGGGATGGCATTAATCATTGTAAAGGATATGTCATTTTTCAGGCTAATTGCGCTGTGGATTAAGCGACGGGTAGAAAGTAGTAATTAAGTGAATGTAAACAGAATTAAGGGAGCTTGTGCCTTGTTAGAGTGGTATTGTAGGCCACGATCAATAAGAAATTATGCTAGTGGTTGGGACAGTCTTAAGACAGTTGGTTTCGACTACTCATAGGATTACCATTTTCCTAGACATATTCCTGGATTTTTCTTTAATAATGTCGAAGAAACGCTCTCGCTCAGTCCATTCTGGCCAAGGTCCTCTTTAAGAAATGACTCTCGGTATTATTTAACACGCCAGTTTTATCCAACCCAGTCACGTATAAATGGAGCGGAATGCGTATTTCTCTGGTTTACAGACATATGGGTTTTATGGAGTGGTTGAACGCAAGACGACGTTCTAATTTAAGCAGGAGCGTCTGATTTGTAATCTGGGTGACAAATAAATCTCAGATATTGCAAAATTTTGTGGTTGTGCATGATTAGTGGAGTTCGTCACCGAGACGATGAAATGTAGTGTGACGTTGCTAGCCACGCCCCGTTTCGCGCGAATTTAAGGGTGGGGGTAGACCAGCATTTACGTTAAGCACTCTATCCTCATGCATTAGTTATTTAAAAATGTTTACACCATGTGAGGTAATTTAAAGCGTTTAAGTTTCCAGCTCCTTTCAATTAATAGATGATACTTGTTGAAAGAAAAAAAAAAGACTTTCAGATCGAATATTTTTTAAATCTGGTCCTGGAATCACAAACACGCAGTTCAACTGCTAATAATCGTGTCATGCTGGAATATCACTAACTAAATTTCAACAGTTTGGTTTCAGCCGAATCGGTCAATTACTGATGTGAAGCAATTAGGCAAACTCGTTGGTGGTTTTAGTTCGCGTTAATTAGTGCCGGTGTTTATTTATTACCTCCCAAAGGTCACAAAATCGCTATTTTAAATCAACATTTAATTATTTTAAGACCCGATTCGTTCATTGTTCCATTATTCGTAGAGATTTCCTTTTTTCAGGGAAAAGCTCCATCGAGATTTGCAAAAATCGCCTCAAGTTATTCTTCGGCTCTGGAGCGCATTCAAATCTGTCCAGTTTCATGGATAACTTAATATTTTTTTTTATAGATATCTATTTAATACATTTTTGGAATAAAGTCATTAATTTTCTGGAGGATTGAATAAATAAATTTGTTTTTTGTTCTGTGATCAGTAATCACTAATTTAATAGCAGTATTCTTTCAATACCAAAACAAACATTTCGTAGATTATTCTGGAGATTCTAAAGATTCGTAAGATTCCAGGATTGCAAAGATTCCAAAATTTTATAGTCTAGCTGTTCCAGCAACTCTAGAGAATTTAGAGATTCTACAGATTCTAAAGATTCTAGAGATTCTAAAGGTTCCAGAGATTCTAGAAACTGTAAAGCTTCTAGAGATTCTACAGATTTTAGAGATTATAGAGATTCTAAAGATTCCAGAGATTCTGAGAGAGATTCTCAAGATTCTAAAGATTATGGGGATGCTAAATACTGTGGAGAGACAAAAAATTCTACAGATTGCTAAGATTCCAAAGAGTCCAGCAGTTCCGGCAATTCCAGAGATTTTAAAGAGTAGAGATTCTACAGATTCTGGAGATGCTAAAACTATAGAGTTCTTTAAGATTCTAGAAGTTCAAAAGAATTTAGAAAGTTTAATAAGATTCTAAGGAGTCAGATTATAGAAATTCTCGATATTCTAGAGATCCTAAAGACTACAAAGATTCTGGAGATACTAAAAATCCTAGCGAAACTAAAGATTCTAGAGATTCTAGAGTTTCTAAAGATTTCAGAGAATTTAGAGATTGTAAAGATTCTGGAGATACTAAACATTCTAGAGATTGTAAAGATACCAGATATTGCTAAGATTCCAAAGGTTTAAAGTGTGGGAGTTCCAACAATTGTAGAGATTTTTAAGAGTGTAGGGATTTTAGAATTTCTACAGAGTTTGAAGATTCTACAGATTTTAAGGATTCTAGAGAATCTAAATATTCTAAAGATTCTGGAGATGCTAAAAATTCTAGAGATGCTAAAGTCTCTAGAGATTCTAAAGATTCTAAATAGGTAAAAATCCTTGATAGGTAAAAATTCTAGGGATTCTAAATATTCCAAAGATTGCCAAGATTCGAAAATTTCATAGTCTAGCGGTTCCAGAAACTCTAGAGAATTTAGAGATTCTAGATATTCTACAGATTCTAAAGATTCTAGAGATTCTAAAGGTTCCAGAGATTCTAGAGACTATAAAGCTTCCAGAGATCCTAAAGATTCTAGAGGTTATGGAAATTCTAAAGATTCCAGAGATTCTGATAGAGATTCTCAAGATTCTAAGGATGTTAGAAGTTCTAATGATTCTAAAGATTATGGGGATGCTAAATACTCTGGAGAGACAGAAAATTCAACAGATTGCTAAGATTCCAAAGAGTCCAGCAGTTCCGGCAATTCTAGAGATTTTAAAGAGTAGAGATTCTAGAGATTCTAGAGATTGTAAAGATTTCAGAGATTCTACAGCTCTGGAGATCCTAAAAGTCTAGAGATCTTTAAGATTCTAGAAATTCTAAAGTATTTAGAAAGTTTATAAATTCTACAGTTTTTAAAGATTCTAGAGATTCTAAGGAGTCAGATTATAGAGATTCTCGATATTCTAGAGATTCTAGAGACTATAAATATTCTAGCGATTATAAAGATTCTGGAGATGCTAAAAATCCTGGCTATACTAAAGAGTCTAGAGATTCTAGAGTTTCTAAAGATTCCAGAGAATTTAGAGATTGTAAAGATTCTGGAGATACTAAAGATTCCAGATATTGCTAAGATTCCGAAGTTTTAATGTGTGGGAGTTCCAACAATTGTGAAGATTTTTAAGAGTATAGGGATTTTAGAAATTCTACAGAGTTTGAAGATTCTGCAGATTTTAAGGATTCTAGAGAATCTAAATATTCTAAAGATTTTGGAGATGCTAAAAATTCTAGAGATGCTAAAGACTCTAGAGATTCTAAAGATTCTAAATAGGTAAAAATTCTAGAGAGCTAAATATTCCAAAGATAGCAAATATTTGAAAATTTCATAGTCTAGCGGTTCCATCAGCTCTAGAGATTCTAGAGAATTTAGAGATTTTAGAGATTCTAAAAATTCTGGGGATGATAAAGATCCTAGAGATTCTGGAGACCCTAGAGTTTCTAGCAAGTCTAGAGATTCTAAAGGTTTCGGAGATTCTAGATATTCTGAGAGATTTTAGAGATTATAAAGATTCTAGAAATTTATAGATTCTAGAAATTTTAAAGATTCTAGATATTCTGAAAATTTTAGATATTCTGAAGATTTTAGAGATTCTGAAGATTCTGAGGATGCTAAAGACTCTACAGATACTAAAAATTTTACAGATTACTAAGATTCCAACATTTTAGAGTCCATCGGTTTCAGCAATTCTAGCGATTTTAAAGAATTTTGGGATTTTAGAGATTTTTAAGTTTCTAGAGATTTTAAAGAATTTAGAAATTCTACAGATTTTAAAGATTGTAGAGATTCTAAATATTCTAGAGATTTTAAAGAGTCATATTTTAGAAATTCTGGAAATGATAAAGATTCTGAAGATTATAGAGACTATAAAGATTGTAGAGATTCTAAAGGTGGCAGAGATTCTGGAGATTCTAAAGATTCCAGATATTGCGAAGTTTCCAAAGTTTTAGAGTCTGAAAAGTCTAGACGTTCTAGAGATTCTAAAAATTTTAAGATGATTCTCAAGTTTCTAGAGATTCTAGGGATTCTAAACACTCTATAGACTCTAAAGTTTCTAGAGATTGTAGAGATTCCAAAGATGTTAAAGTATCATGAAATTCTAGAAATTCCAAAGGTTCAAGCGATTCTAGAGATCCTAAAGATTCTATAGATTCTAAAGATTCTAGAGATTATGAAGATTTTGGAGATTCCAAAGATTCTAAAAACGCCGGAAGTTCTAGAAATTGTAGAGATTTTAAAGATTCTGGGAATGCTAAGGACTCTGGAGGCACTAAAGATTCTACAGATTGCTAATATTTCAAGGTTTTAGAGTCTAGCGGTTCTAGTAATGCTAGAGATTTTTAAGATTCTAGAGATTTTAAAGAGTCTAGAGATTCTAAAGTTTCTAGAGATTCTGAAGATTCCAGAGATACTAAAGATTCTAGAGATTCTGAAGATTCCAGAGATTCTAGAGATTCTGGAGATGTTAAAACTCTAGAGATCTTTAAGATTCTAAAAATTCTAAAGAATTTAGAAAGCTTATAAATTCTACAGATTTGAAAGATTCTAGAGATTCTAAAGATTCTAAAAATACTACAAATTCGAACTATTCTAGAAATTCTAAAAATTTTAGTGATTCTAAAGTTTCTAGAGATTTTAGGGATTCTAAACATTCTATAGACTGCAACGTTTCCAGAGATTTTAGAGATTTCAAAGAGGTTAAAGTATCATGAAATTCTAGAAATTCCAAAGGTTCAAGCGATTCTAGAGATCCTAAAGATTCTAGAGATTCCAAAGATTCTAGAGATTCTGAAGATTTTGGAGATTCCAAAGATTCTAAAAACGTCGGAGGTTCTAGAGATTGTAGAGATTTTAAAGATTCTGGAGATGCTAAGGACTCTGGATGCACTAAAGATTCTTTAGATTGCTAATATTTCAAGGTTTTAGAGTGTAGCGGTTACAGTAATGCTAGAGATTTTTAAGATTCTAGAGATTTTAAAGAGTAGAGATTCTGAAGATTCCAGAGATTCTAAAGATTCTAGAGATTCTGAAGATTCCAGAGAATCTAGAGATTCTAGAAATTCTAAAGAATTTAGAAAGTTTATAAATTCTATAGATTCTAAAGATTCTAGAGATTCTAAAAATTTTAAAAATACTACAAATTCGAACTATTCTAGAAATTCTAAAGATTTTAGTGATTCTAAAGTTTCTAGAAATTTTAGGGATTTTAAACACTCTATAGACTCTAAAGTTTTTAGAGATTTTAGAGATTCGAAAGATGTTAAAGTATCATGAAATTCTATAAATTCCAAAGGTTCAAGAGATTCTAGAGATCCTAAAGATTCTGGAGATTCTAAGGACTCTGGAGGCACTAAAGATTCCACAGATAGCTAATATTTAAATGTTTTAGAGTCTAGCGGTTCCAGTAATGCTAGATTTTTAAGATCGTAGAGATTCTAGAGATTTTAAAGAGTCTGGAGATTCTAAAGTTTCTAGAGATTTTTAAGATTTTAGAAATGCTAAAACTCTAGAGATCCTGAAGATTCTAGAGACTAAAGATTGTGGAGATGCTAAAAACTCTAGAGATATTAAAGATTCTAGAGATTCTGGAGATTCTAAAGTTGCCAAAGATTCTAGAAATTGTAGAGAATCTAAAGATTACAGAGATTGCTAAGATTCCGAAGTTTTAAAGTCTGGGAGTTCCAACAGAGATTTTTAAGAATTTAGAAATTTTACAAATTTTAAAGATTCTACAGATTCTAAAGATTTTAGAAAATCCAACATTCTAAAGATTTTGGAAGTGTTAAAAATTCTACAGGGCTAAAAATTCTAAAGGTTCTAAATATTTCAGAGATTGGAAAGATTCCAAAGTATAGCGCTTCCAGCAATTATAGAAATTTTAGAGATTCTAGAGATCTGGAGAATCTAAAAAGTCTAGAGGTTCTATAGATTCTAAAGGTTTTGAAGATACATAAAATTCGAAGTATCTGGAGACAATAAAGATTCTGGAGAGGCGGAAAACTCTGGAGATACTAAAGATTAGATACTAAAGACTCTGGAGATACTAAAGATTCCAGAAATTGCTAAGATTCGGAAAAATTTTAAAATCTGGGAGTTCCAACAATTCTAGCGATCTTTAAGAATTT